CGGGCGGCATGTCAGCTTTTAGTCTGCACAAATACTCAATTTTGTGTTGGGCGTGGTGGCGAATAATCAAAGGGATGGTGGCGGTTAATGAATCCCAGTACGGCGATGTTCATCGCATTGAGATCAAATCTTTGAGTCGCGTTATGTGTCCATCTGGTGATTTGCGAGCTACGTGATTACGTTCGCACCAGGAACTTGAATTTACTTCTAGCGATCAGCTACGTCAACAAAGGAATGCCTTGGCAATTGTGGACGCAGCAGAAATTAGGAGTCATAACCAAGAGATGTTAGCATCGTATTTGCAATGGCTACACTACGACGATTTTATGATTGTGGATGAGGACGGAGCACTGGTCTTTGGAAACATTTTGAAATACATTCAGAATCGAGTGTCTACCTTCCAACGACGGCAATGGATCAATCGCCAACAATCCAAGGATGCAATCCGGCACACCCTGACGCCAGATGAAATACCGATGATTTCCACAAGTGAGTGGACGGATTCACTCCGTCGTTTCTATTGAAGAGCTAGATCCAACGTGCTTCACACTAATGCTGTTAAACATCGGTTTGATTCTAGATGGCCTGATGGTTGTTGTGTTTGTGACGATGAGATCAGTGACACCCAAGATCATAGATTTGGGGTTACAGAACCGACGTGTGTGGATGTTCATATACTCAATAACATGCTCAGTTCAAAATTTCACACTGTCGATAAGCAGTGCTGGTATCCGAACCAATGTATTTTCTACCAGCTGTGGCACATCATATTGGGGTTTCTCTCAATCTAAACCAGCGGAGTACTTGGGTACCTAGCGAGGCGTGTAGATTATTGTGGTCATCAATGATACAAATGCCTAACAACCTGTGGGTAAATGCGCAATGCCTTGACTGGTTGGGTAGTCCAGTTGACTTAAGTCATGATAGTAGATTCCTGGTACTGATAGTCGAGAATTACAGTCTTCGCAAGGACAACCTGTTCGGTGCATGCTTCCGGCACATCTCGTTGAGGCAGTTCAATACTATCATACCGACATTGGACTTTACGAGTCGAGTGTCGTGCAGTGGACACCAGGTTGGGCGGTCGTGCACCTTACCAACGGCTTGCACTTTGACCAGTTCCCCGGTTTAGAGCAGTTAGTAAATCCTGCTGTGATTTCAGTATGGTGGATTGACGACGTGTATCAACCGAAATCAGATAAGCGGTGGTGTGACCTTCACCACACTTACGAGAGCCAACCTAACCACCCGTTGGGGCCGCTTTACTGGGTGACCCCCTCCTTCGGGTCACCTGGTGTTACGGGGTTACACGAAATTCTAACCGTAACGTTAACTGGTTCGAGTTAGAGGGTTCCCGTCTTGGTGTGTTCACACACCAAGACTGCATTTGAAGGGATATTATTGGTAGAGTGATCCTACGTGCTTCAGCACGTACGAGTCCTTCAAGAAGGAGCTCAAACTTGCGTTTGAGCCCCCAAAGAATGCGTTCCGGTTAAGAGCTGAGTTTCTCGACCTGCAGCAGGGTACGCAAGATGTACATGCGTACGCCCCACGTGCACGGTACTTGGTCTCAAACGTCGTGACCAAATCGATTGACGAGACGACCAAGGTCGTCACGTTCGTGAAGGGGCTGAAGGATGGGCCTGTGAAGACCTATCTTTTCCGAGAGTACCCGAGTACTCTCGAAGCTGCGATAACTCTCGCCATGCAATAGGAGTTTAGCCTGCGGTTGGCTAAACTACATGTGAAAGCTCCACTCCCGTCCGAACCGGCGGTTGAGGTAGTGGATGAGGTGGAAGGTTCCGAACCAATGGACCTTTCAAGCGCAACTGCTGCGGGGCAGCAGTGGGCGAGAGCCAACGTGCGATGCTTCTGGTGCGGAAACATCGGACATTATGCACGCGAGTGTACGACACCAGTACACTCAGTCCAAGGTCGACGTGGCGATGCAGGGTATCGTCACGGTCTAACAAACAACGCGACGGATCAGTAGGCACGGGGCGCCCTACTGGTAATGCAGTCACGCGTGTCTACAACGGACACACGGTATGGAGACTGCAGCACCCAGTGAGAGGAATCTCACTGCAATGTGCAAGATGACAAGCCAATCCTTGTCATCTTAAAGATGACGTCGATGACGAAGAGAGCGGACTCTCTTCAAGTGTTGGCAGATTCGGACGTGTCGAACAACTTGTTCGACAGCAACGTCTGCCGTTGTTGGACTTCGAGGACAAGCATGTGCCTCGAAGTCAGTTGGAAGTATGATTGGCAACGGATGCCATCGTGAAGACCGAGAAGCGCGTAATTCGCGCACGCTTCTCGCACAAACACCGGGTGTTTGTAGAGGAACTTCTCGTCCTGGACTTGGACGACAAGTTCGACATGGTGTTGGGCATGCCGTGGCTTGCACAGCATGATCCTAAAATCGACTGGGAGAAGCGTACGGTCGTACGCTTCGGACGCCGCGGCACAACAGAGAGCGATGGCCCTTTTAGCGCAGCAGATACACCTAACGGTGCATCCGAACCTCCATCAGAGACAGTAGCTCACGCCGCAGTCTCCGGTCGTAGCGCGTGAAGCGCGCGTGCTGTAACGACTCCGGGAGTCGTTGACAGAAGAGGAGTGTCTGGTCAGGGACCAGACACTACTAAGGAATACTCCGCCGTGAGGCTTCGAGGTGACAAGGGTGTGTCAACTCCGGGAGTTGCGACACACTGCTCCGCCGTAAGGCGTAGAGGTAACGACAATGCATCGACTCCGGGAGTCGATGCGACAAGCTGTGTGGACGGTTGCAAACGTCCAGCACTAAAGCTTGCGTGCTGTCGTGCAGCCGGGCTGCACGAAGTAGGGCACGATCAAGCCGGGCTTGATGACGCGTGCCCGCGGGTACAAGAACCCGCCCGCGGTCGCCCGCAGACTGGAATGTCTGCCGGTGGTATCAAGGAACATTCGTCCATGGCCGGGCCTGGACGAAACGCAAGTGACTCCGGGATTCACAAGAAGAAGTGACGGCGCAAGCACAAGATGCTGCGCAAGTCTCGGTCCGGGACCGAAACTCTTCAAGGTATGTCTGCCGGGCAGACACAAGAGCCGACAGTGCCCTCGTACCGCGGATGAAGTATCCCGACGTGACAGTGGCCACTGTCGCGGTATCAAGCAAGGTGCGCGACGCATTGCTTGTGTTTGGTTCGCGACTTCGCACCAAACTGCTTCTACATGATACTCGTTCACAGTCGGGCTGTGGACGGGATGAAGAAACGCGCATGGAAATGGACCGCTGCGTGGTCGCAGCCGTTAGATGCGGCCAAACTGGGCTTGACTGCTGCGCCGATCTTGGCACTGGTTGTCCAAGATCGTCCCTTTTCCCATACACATCCGATTTCGCGATCAGATGCGCGTTGGTGATCCAGTGCATGACAAGGAAACCCTTGTCATGATGCATGAACTGCCAGAGTGCCGAGTGCGATCACTCGGCAACACGTCGTTCGTGGTCTATACCGACCAGACGACGTTGCGGGCAACGATGAAGTGGCCGCACATCTCGTCCCTCGGGCGAGATGGTTGTCTCCCCCTGGTAAACGGCTTCCGGGTCCACAATACCCGGAAGGTTGAATGTCGTCGCACACGTGTTGTCGCGACGACCGAAAATTTTGCCACGGTGAAGGCTGCGTTTGCGCTTGACGCGGACGCAAGAAGCTGATCGAGTTTCTCTCAGCTCCTTCCGACATGGTACGTTGGAAGTTGGCCTCTCACGTACGAGCAAGTGCACATTAGTACCGTGTGCACGTCTACTTTACGATGTAAGGAAGACGGGTGTCTTCTTTTTAAAGTGGGGGAGGGGCGTTACGGTTGATGTCGATCAACCGCAGAAGAAACTGATACGGACATATCAGTTGTAACGACATGTGCGAGAGCGAGGGCCCGCACGAGACAGCACCACGCTGTGGCCCAAGGTGACGTGTCAGTGCTGAGCACTGACACTGTGTACGACTACGAGCAGGCGGGACTTGCAACGACCAATGGCAACGGGTCTGTGTCGGGCACAGACACCGCGAAGAACCATGCCCAGACAGAGCCTGTTGCAAGCACAAGTGATGTATCAATACAGGGTATTGATACTGAGAAGTCTCACACACAGACAGAGTCTGTTGCGATCACGTATGTAGTATCAGTGCCGAGCACTGCCAAGCACTGATACAGAGAAGACTCACACACAGGCGGGGCCTGCTGTGAGCACAAGTAATACGTCAGTGCCAGGCACTGACGCTACGAAAAGCCACGCACAGTCTGGGACTGATGCAAACACAAGGTGCAAGTCTGTGCAGGGCACAGACGCAAACAAGGTCAACGAGCTGAATCCGGGGTTCAGCTCTCAAGTGCTGGACTTTGTCCAAGACGCGATTTGTTTTGCTTCTCAGAAAGACAGAAGCCTTTGGTCAACCCAGGGTTAACCATATGAAGAGCGCCCGACGTCGCCTGGAGACACATAGTTCTGTTCGTGGCACGTTCCAACGGGATGCCGCCGTCGGTCGCGTGGACCGACGAACCTTCGAAGACAGTTGACGGACAGAGTGTCTTGGCATCCTCAGCGCGCTTCTTCTCCTGGAGCTGGAGCTTCTTCTCCTGGAGCTCGAAGTACTTGTCGACAGAGAGGCTCTCTGTCGTACCACTTGGGGGTGTCGGCGTTGCCGCCGACACAGGCGCGGAAGCAGGCACCGACACTGAGGTCGACGCGGACACTGGAAATGACGCTGGTGTTTGCAGAGGCACGCTCATTGCGGAATGAGCGCGGAGTTCTCTCGGAGACTTGACGGTCTCGTCAAGGCTTGGATTGATGTGTTGTGACCAACACGTCAAATCTTAACGGGGGTGTAACGAGGTTACACGAAACTCTAACCGTAACGTTAACTGGTTAGAGTTAGAGGTTTTCTCGTTTTGGTGTGAACACACCAAGACTGTATTTGAAAGAGATTCTATTGGTAGAGTGCGCCACACCTCTACCAATCAGCGATGCGGATCACTGTCAGCCACATACTGCCAGTCCCTTAGATTTACGGTAACAGTTTAGGAAGGAAAGTCTCCATAAAGAAAAACAATACAGTTCTCATTTTCCGCTATCTAGCTCCTAGGTTGTATAGCGTACACACCATGCGTGTGTACGCTATGCGTGTGTACGATATACAACCTAGGAACACCTATGCTTCCTCCTACACGTGCGCACACGTGTACGCTAACTAGTGAGCCCTAGGCTCACTACACTGTCGATCAAAGCAAGCGTAAAAAGAAGAGAAGCAATAGACGTTCCTATCTAACTTAGAAATGGGTCGAGCTTCAGCTTGAGGAAAACCAAGTGCCGACTGCAGTGGCTGCAGACATCCCTGTCAACAAAGGGACATCCGATAACCATCGGCAACCTCGGCAAGGTGACTCAACTGTTGGGTTTGAAGCTGATACAACTACGACGGTCGATTTTCCTGTTGGTGTTGCTCCCACCGCGGTGCAACCGTCACGATCTCGCGGGAAACTTTCGAGAGCTGCTATGACAGCTTCTCAATTGGACAAAGTTCGTAAAGATGACAAGCTGTGGAAAGCGCTCAAGAGAGCTAACCGCTCGGAACCACAAGTCATTCGCGACCGGGAAGCAGATACAGAGAGACAGAGGGTTCGCAGAGCAAACATGATCGCCTCACGAACGGACGAGCAAAGCAGAGATCGACCGTGCAGCGGCAAGTATTGAGGGACCAAAGGCGCGAAGACCCTCACCGGCAGCAAACAAAACTGGAATGACACCGTACTGAGCAAGAGCTACACCGGCTCCGTCAGAGTCAAGAAGGTCAAGCTAGAGAGCGAGATCAAAACACATCTTCGCGTTCTGAACAAAGATCCCAACAGAATGAGGAGGATGGCCAGAGAGAGCGTGCAAGCAATAGACATCAGCATTGTGTAAGACGTGCCAATATGACTGACGATGAACGTCACGCGGATCGAGACACGAATCGAGAGCAACAAGATAGACGACGTGCCCGAATGACAAAGGAAGAACGTGAGGCACAGCGAGAACGAGGTCGCCCCCGCCGTCTATGTGTTCAACTTGGACATGGCCTGGCAAACCACAAAGACTTCAACAAGTCCCGCGTTTCGGGACCAGATGTGGAGGGCGATCGATATGTCCTTCCCCCTTTGGAGCAATGCGACAAGTGCCGAGCATGGAAATGGCCCGGTGAGTCTAAATTGTCGTACTGTTTAAAGGGTGATGTTCAGCTACGTCTGCTAGAGCCCGTTCCAGACGTCCTCCGCAACTTTTATAAAGACCCTCTGCTCCGGAAAATGATCAGGGCATAGAATAGTGCATTTGGAATGGTTTCGGCCGGAGCATCTGACGGCAAGGGACATATTGGACCTGTGTGAGAGGATCGGTCTGTTCAACGTGATCGCGGGATCTACACGTACCGGATGCAAGGTGAAATTTCACACTACTTGGGAACTTCAATTCCTCCGATCGACAGATCTACAGGTGAGATGAGATCACCTACGTTTGGACAGATCTACGGCTTAAATGAAGACATGCAAAAGCGAGCAGAGCGTCGGACCAGGATCTTTTCAGGTTTCGATCAGGAGATACTGATGACACTCGACTTGATTCTGCTAGAGTGCAATCCGTAAGTGGGACAGTTTCTTTTGCACGGAGAAAAAAATCTGAAGGATGTTGCGGAGGGAAAGAGACCGACAATTTGACACTACATCTACATGCTGATACTCGTAGACCGGGAACCACGAACTTACCTACTGTGAGCGAGGTCGGTGTTGTGATGGTAGCTCTAGAAATCCTCGGGACTTGATCGTGTACCCTAAACAGCGCGGCCTGTTTCGCATTTTCGAGAGCAACCCAATGTACGACCCACTAATGTATCCGTTGTTGCTCCCTATGGGAGAACATGGATGCACATACGGTGAAAAGTATGCCAATGGTGCCAAGCAACACAACAAAGACACGATGTCACCACGCGAACACATAGCATTTCGCTTATTCTCGGATCCTGAAGGTGGATCCGTTTTACACGATGGTGGACGTGCGTACCAACAATGGTGTGTCGACCAGCGTGCTAAAGTTGAACAGGAAGCTTTGCGATGGTATAATAACAACCAAGAGACACTCCGAGCTGATTTATATGCCGGGGTTGAGGATGCATACCGCAATGAAGCACCTGAAGTCGTGGGAGAGGGTGAATTCCGCGTTTCGGAATACAATCAATCCACAGGAAGCTTGAATGACCCTGTGGCAGGCGGGAGACTCCCATGGCACTTCTTGGACAAAAGGGGCAAACGTGTCATCCTCCCATCAAGCTATAATGGCGGACCGCGTCAAATGTACAAGCCGTACCGAGATTCAGTGGCAATAGTTCGTGAATTCGGCAAACCAGATTTTTTCCTGACGATGACTTGCAATCCAGAATGGAAAGAAATACGGGAACAAATAGCTGAGCATCAAAACCCTCCTGATCGACCGGACATCGTGGCGCGTGTGTGGAATCAAAAGCTCCGTGCTTTACTTCATGACCTAGACGAAGGAGTACTTGGACGCATACTTGCACGGATTTACGTGGTTGAATTCCAGAAGCGAGGTCTACCACACGCGCATATTTTGATTTTCTTGGCAGAAGAAGACAAATCACGTACCAGAGATCTTATCAACAAGTTGGTGTCTTGTGAAATTCCCGACGAGGCCACAAACCCGGAGCTTTACGAAATGGTAAAGAACTGCTTGATGCATGGTCCGTGTGGAAGTCAAAACCCCAACTGCGTCTGTATGGTCGATGGCAAATGTTCCAAAGGGTACCCAAAGCCTTTGGTTGAAGTTACCCGCGCCAACGTCGACGGATACGCCGAAGTCCAAAGGTGTCGTCGACCACCAGGCAAACTAAAGTTCAAAAACCGTGTATACGACAACGCAACGGCAAACCAGTGGGTTGTACCATACAATCCGTACATGTCACCGAAGTACAACTGCC